AAAAAAAAAAAAAAAAAAAAAAATTCAGGCAAAAGTAGATCCTCAAGTAATTTCAACCCTTCCGATGTAGCTAAAAATCCACTAGTTTGTAACTAATAACTTATGCCCATCCCTTTACATTAGTTACAGGCATCAAGAGAAACTCATGCCCTAAACTTATATGAATTAAAAAAGAAACTGTGTGTAATTTCATGCTTCCTCTCGTGCATGCAGGTGAGTGTTATTTTTTCTAAATGGATGCAATTGCTATCAAATTAAGAATTTGTCTTTCATTCAAGTTTCAGGCACAGTGTTTGCTGAGCATTTTAGTACTGAAACTATGTGGAAAGGTTTCTGTACAAGTCAATCATTACTAATAAAAGTTTTGACGATCAAATTTTCCCTTTGCAAAATTACATGCACTCTGTCAGTAGTTTTCAATACTTTTGCTCCAAGATCTCATATGCAATTCTTCTTACTATCTGTCAGACCATTCCTAGAGTGTTAGTTGTGAGAATTTGTTATTGGATCGACTAAAAATTCCCCAATTGATATTTTTCCTAAGTCTCATTACTTGTCTGCTTGATATTGTATATATATTGGTCATTCATGTGAGTTAAAGGGTAAAGGAGAAACTATCAGATGTATTTTGACATGATCTCACCTCAAGGCACTGTGGGGGTCTGGTGACACATGAGCCAAGGCTATAACAGGACAGGACCCTCTTGTTGTGTTCTGAATACTCTTTAGATAAGTGTCAGTGTTTCTTATGTCAAAAATAAGACAAGTGCCATTCTGTAGACCACAGTAGATGTAATTGGTGTCATCTTCATTCCAAGCACATGACCAAGCAGGAGCCGGTGTATTGTAACTATGAATCAAAACACAAATTGCTAACTCTTAAACCAAAGAGAACTATGAATGAGGCAAAATGTTATACTCAAGGCTGTCATCTAGCAGCACCCAGTGGCCCCTGGTGCCTTACTTTTGCTCTTGGGCAACTCAGGAATTTTAGTTTTTTCATATGAAGCATAATTATGCTGAGCACCCTGGATTTCACAGTTTCAGAGCACTGGGCTCTATTCAATCTTTCTTAGAGCACAGCCTTATTACCAGCGAAATTAAACTCAAGGCAATGCTGGCATCAGACCTTCCAATTCCACCCTCTAATGATCTACCACTGAACCACAGAGACTCTTTACAGTGAACAAGAGGTCATGGGTTCAAATTCCATATGGGCCTGGATTTTCTTCAGGCCTTATTTCCAGTGCTACATTAGTGGGATTTATTACTGCAAGGATCGCTTTCATACAAGGCCTTGATTGTTACACAAATTCTCCTTTTCAGCACCTTAGGAAATGTATAGAGAACAATATGGAGAATATGCATTCTGATGCTAGGGTATAAAGGGTTAATAGTCTTTACTTACGTCTGTACAACAGTATTACTCAGCATACTAGTGACCCTAACTGTCTTGTCCATGCTTGCTGTCAACAACAAACCATCACCTCTGTTGTTGAATGCCACATCACGGACCGCCTTCTGGTGAATCCGCACAAACTCACAATGCTTTGAGTCTAAAGAGCTTACCTAAATTTGCAAAGACATATTAAAGAATAATGGCTCTGCTGACAATTTTGGATTATCTACCAGCTATACAATTAGATACTGATAGTAACTATTGTACAGTTTCTATATACCTTCACAATGCCAAATCCAGGAAAGAGCTGGTTTGGTGAAGGCTTGGACACAACCAGCACAGCATGGTGTTGATCAAAAGAAATTACTCTTGCTCCATTCTGGTGAAAACAAGTCAGACAACAGGACAGTATAACTCTTATCAATTAAACATGGGCAAAGTAAAGCGAATTCTTGGCTGTAATGGTACAGCAGACAGACAAGTAAAGTTTCACCAGTCGAGGCACCAAACATTATAACCAAAGATGATTGACTGGCTTTGGTCTTGTTGGCTGTTCGCTAAAACGACCAAGGTGATTCTTCCTTGTTTACGCTCCATTCTTAATCAACTGGAAGTACATGTACCTTTATTATTGATCCCACCTCCCTCTAGAATGGTAATCAGAGAAATATGGAATGGTCTATAGCATATTAAGCTGTAGAGGCAAAAAATCCAATATTTCTCGCAGAGGCACACCATGGGGGTGGAAAAGCCTAGTATGTGAGTGTATTACAGTAACTAAGAAGTGGTATAAATGTTGTAGTTCAATTTTATCCTTGGTTCAAATTTTATTTTCCTTTCTTTTAAACTCATTATCATACATTAACATGACCAAGAACAAAGGAAAATAAAATTTGAACCAAGTATAAAATTGAACTACAACATATACATGGTGTTATAAAGTAATAACTGAAGGCAATAAGGACAAAATGGATGTGGTAGTAATATGTGTTGTAATAAGGTAATAGAGACGAAATACATGTCATGTTCTGTATATGTGCACGATCCTTTGCAGTAAAGCACTATTTAAGCAATAGTGAAAATCAGACCTGAAAAAAATTCAGGCCTGTATGGGATTC